TTCTATACATTAAATATTTTTTTAGAAATTTTGATAAATAAATTTTAGCATAATTTTATTATTTACACTCATTTTAAAAAGGTTCATAATTAATAATTAATAATTAATTTTGTTAATTAATGTTTTATTTTTTCATTACAGTTTCAAATTTGCTATAATTATTTTTCTTTTAGAAAATTTCTTTGGAAAATAATATTATGATTTACGAAAAAGAATTATTGCATGCAGATAATATGAAAAATAAATTATGGATTTTATGAGAGAAAATTTAGCATAATTTTTCTTATTTATATTACATAAACAAATTTATGTTGATTTTCGTTACTATATCGAGAAATATTCTTTGTGGAAATTTTGTGAAATAAATTTTAGTGTAAATTTATTAATTTTATTCATTTTAAAATTGCTAATAATTATTGATTAATAATTAATAAGTAATTTAATTAATGTTTTATTATATTTTTACAATTTCAATTTGCTATAATTAATATTTTTTAAGAAATTTCTTAGAAAAATAATATTATGATTTATGAAAAGAAACTATTCCCTTCAGATAATATGTATAAAAAAGCAGACAATATAAAAAAAAAATAGTACATACAAAATTTATAGAGGAATTGTTCACTTTATAAATAAAATAAGATTAGTACATGTAAATTTTATGGAGAGTTGTTGATACATTCATATAATAATCTTTCTTCGGAATAGACATTCAGTATTTTGTATAATTAAATCAAATAAAATCCCTTCCTTCCTATCCTAGTCAAGAAAACTAAAAGCAGAAACATAGGAAGAAAAAAAAATAGAAGATGGAAAAATTAAAGATCTAGTTCATTGTCAATTTCGTCACCAACTTCTCCCTACTATTACTGTTACTATTCCAATGTTATTATTTTCTTCTAGGCATATCTATCAAAGTTTGGTACGTATAAAAGGAGTGCACGTAACTTCTTCCGTCTATTTGATTAGAAAATGCCTATATATAATAATAATAATAAATAAATAATTATATATTATATTAATTTGTAGGATGATGTAGTACAATAATTAAGTAATACTATTTTTTTTAAAATAAGTGTATTACATTGAGGGTGTATATAAGATGGGAACCCCTAAATGAACACAATCATGTTTTCTCCAACCCTAAACTATGTTTTTATTATTCATATAATGATATAAATATTTTTTATTTGGCCTAAATCTAATAATTTTCCAATAGATCTAAATGTCTGTGTTAGGATACAGAATAAAGGGAAATAGAATAGTTATTAGTTAGAAGGGTATCATGGGCTAGACCCATCACATCTATAAATAGGAGGTTACTTGGTAGAGGGGAGACATTTATATATTTTCATTTGTAGCCAACTTTTCTTTGAAGAAGACAGGTTGCATATGCCGGAGATGACAGAGTCACCGCCGGAGGAGACACAGTCGCTGTCAGAGAAGATAGATCGACGGAGATTCGTCGGAGAAGAAGACAGATCGGTGGAGGATCGGCACTTTCCCTCTCTTTTCTGCATTTTTTTTAGGGTTTCCAGAATCAGGTCGCGCGTGACTCGATCCAGTTTCGAGGCGTGACCCGCTGTTTCGAAATCGTGCGATTTCGTCCAGAATCGCGATTTTTCCGATTCACGCAACGATACGCACGATTCACATGCGATTCTTAATCAAAAACGAGACAACTTGCGATTCGTATCGCGGAAGCTCGGAATCGTATCGTATCGTACGATACGAATCGCGATACATCCGATACTTACTACCATGCTCCCAACTATATTTTGCTTCTTGTTTCTCCATGAAATTAGGTTTCCTCCATTAAGAACACTATCTCGAAGTTGATTGTTTGTCTGAAAGTGATGCCGCCAAGTCAGTATTAGAGGTGCAACTTGCAAGTGATTTTTCTGTTGCTTGTCCATATGATAATCCTTTACCTGGTGCATTTTTTATGTATTACAATGAGTATTCAGAAATTGACTAACCACACTTAAAGCGGAAGTGATGTTGGACCTAGTTATGGTGAGATATTTTAGTTTGCCAACTAAGTGTCATGTCATCCCAGATCTTTCAATGGCTCCCCAAGGACCACAGTTAAGCATTCTAGTTTCCTTAAGAAGAATTTCTAGGCCATGAATTTTTATATGGATTTGGAGTTGTACTTATTATTTAAAAAATAATTTGTAAACTCTCTTATGTTTCATTTTTTAATTTTTCTATTTTCAATTATCTTGGATATTGAAGAATATTTATGAAGGTTTTTATGTGAACCCTTTTATCGATGTTGAAAAATTTATTTCCTTAGTCTATTTACGTTATATGTGTTGGAGTATTATGGGTGTCACATTTAGTGGTATCAGAGCAGGTCGATCCAATCGGCCGTGAGTTATGAGTCTACTATGATTGTTTGGTAGATGAATGATGGAATGAATTAATTGTGGAACTTATTGATATGCTAGTATGATGATTGATTATGTTTGTTGTTATTTAATTGTGTGTACTCTAACAATGTTTTGCTTTATGATGAGGATAATGATGATAATGTTGATGTTTCCCTTGTGTTGTTAGTTTTGTGCTTACTTTTATATTGTTTTCTCAGAATTTGACTGAAAGACATGATATAGCTTAGTTGATGCTATTCATGATTGTTTATTTGTTTTGATACTTCTTGCTTATGTAAGAAGTAGTGGTTGAGTGGTATCGCTCGTGTTGCGAGCATATGTATCAGTAGTAGTGGACGAAGCCTTGTGCTAACCAACAAGAAACTATTAGAATCTTGGATGTGGGGGAGACATTGATTCGTCAAGTGTATTGAGAGTTTATGGTTGATGGAGCTTCTGAAATCTATAGTTGTAGCGATTGAATCCAAGGAGGTTGTATGTTTTGATATTCTTAAGGAGAGATTGAAGTGTTGATGATTTCTGGAGTTGGTGCTTGCATGTTAACCTTTTATGGTTTAGGTAGCATGTGAGTTTTATTTTCTAAGTCTTTTGTGATGAATATGTGAGTTTTTTTGGTTTAGGATTTTAGTGGGAAGCTTGGATATGAATTTGAGGTGTGAGTTTGGAAGGATTGAGGTATTTTTGTGGCCTTAGATGTTGATACACTATTGTTGTCTAGTGTAGGGGATGTTTTCACTACAATTTTATTGTGCCAGTACAAGTGTTATATTGATAGAATTAGATTTTGTGGTCTTCATGAAAGTTGTAACCTTGGATGTTATCTTTCTAATGGAACTAGAATCAGGTAAAATGAAGGTCTAGAACTTCAGTTATAACTACTTTGGTGATCAGAAATCTAGTTGTGCTTTTGCAAAAAGAAGAACATCATCTGCAAACAACAAATGGATAATTCCAGGACCTCCCCGAGAGACATGGATGGGCTGCCAAACATTATTATCGACCAATTGTTGGATAGATAACGCTAATTTTTCCATATAGAGAATGAACAAATAAGGGGACAACGGGTCCCCTTGTCTCAGACCTCTATGAGGGGTAAAGCTGTGGAGCTTAGAGCCATTCCAGAGGATAGACAAGGAAGCAGAAGTAACACCCCACATAATCAAATTGATAATCTTTAGCGGAAAGCCAAAATCATGAAGAGTGCAACGAAGGAATTCCCAATTAACTCTATCATAAGCCTTTTCCAAGTCAATTTTAAAAGCAACCACACCTACTTTAGATTTAGTATGCCTCATGTAGTGAACTACCTCCTGGGCTAACAAAATGTTATCCGTAGTGCTCCTTCCTGGTAGGAAACTCCCTTGAAGAGGACCAACGAAATCATTTAGGAATGGACGGATTCTATTCACCAAGACTTTGGAAATCACTTTATAAGCAACATTACAAAGATTGATAGGTCTAAATTATTTCAGGTGAACCAGATTATCCACCTTAGGAATTAGAACTAAGAGAGTATCCAAAATACTCGAGTCAGTCATGCCCCCGTTATTAAACGCTTCACTAACCATTCTCCAAAGATCCACCCCCACAATCTCCCAATATTGCTTGAAAAAGAACGGTTGGAAACCATCTGGGCCTGGAGCCTTGAAAGTACCCATGGACATAACGGCACGCCGAACCTCCTCCATAGTAATAAGACCCTCCAAAAGGCTAGCTCCTTCTATACCAAGTGATGGCATCCTGTCAATCTGTAGCTTGGTCGGTGAGACAGGTGTGTCCACAGAAAATAGTTTTTGAAAAAATCTGTTCACCTCAACTTTAAGTACCTCAGGATCAGTAGCCCAGGACCCATCATCAAGAAAAAGCCCATGAATTTTATTCCTTTTTCTCCTAACCACTGTTTGAGCATGAAAGAATTTATAGTTTCTATCACCAAACTTCACCCACTGCTCCTTAGATTTTTGCATCCAAAAGAGTTCTTCCTGCCTCAAGACTTGTTCGTACTCTTCCTGGAGTGATTTTTCTAGGAAAATTAGTCTCTCTAACTCTATTTCATCCAAAGAAACTTGAACACCCTTGAGCCGAGCTTCAATCCTCCTTTTCCTAGCAAAAATGTTGCCAATGATCTCCTGATTAAATTTCAGCGACATTTCCTTCACTTTCTCAAATCCAGAGGGAATGAAATGGTTGCCTTCATTCCAAGATTGCAACACTAAGGGTCGAAACTGATTATGTGTAGCCCAAGCAGCCTGGAAACGAAACGGGCGAGCAGTTCGTTCAATAAAACCACCACATCTAATTAATAGTGGGCTATGATCAGAAACCACTCTGCTTAGGTTCTCAACGTAGGCTTCTAGGAAGGCCATCCTCCAGGAAATACTTGAAAGAGCTCTGTCCAAGCGCTTGGATATAATGTGACCATTCAGAGATTTACCAGACCAAGTAAATTTGTTCCTAACGGCACCCAAATCCAACAAATCACAATCCTGAATAAACTGAGAGAATTTTTGAGCTCTAGAACTAATAAACTGGCCGCCCCTGACCTTAGATGGGAGTAAAATTTCGTTAAAATCACCAGCTAAGAGCCGAGGGAAAGAAAACATACCTCTGAGCTGACTAAAGTGAACCCATAACCTCTCACGAGCAAGAGGGACAGGGCTAGCATAAACCGTAGAGAAGCCCCATGTCTTGTCCCCTTTATTAATTAAAATGGTAATAGCTTGAGGGTGGGAATCCAACAACTGAACAGAGAAGTCACTGTTAACATCTACTAGCACCTGTGCTTCCGAGAGACCGCAAATGTTGAAGCCCATATTTTCCCAAAAAGGGATGGGTTTCCATAATTATAACCAACTCACATTTGAACTTTTGAATCAGAGACCTCACACGTCTTCGCCCACGAGTACTGATAGCTCCACGAATATTCTACACCAAAATTCTAAGGTCCTTAAATTCAATCATGAATAAGAATTATAAAAGACTCGTACTAGTAGAGCCCAACAACTCTCAATTACCTGGTTCAGTAGCTTGTTTCCCTGGATCTGGTGGTTCAGTATCATGTACCCCGCAATTGAAAACCCCATTAAAGGAGGTGGTACCCGAATCATCATGCTCCTCCAGCTTGTCACCAAATCTGAACCTGGAATAAGTGCCTCCACCTAAACCAACAGCTTCGTGGTTAACCATCTGCTTAGACGGGCCAACATTCTTCCCAGGCCAGCTTGAGAAGGGATTAGAGGTCTTAATAGGCCTCCTACTTGCATCTCTTTTCAATATCACACGAGGTGGGTCCTTAGAGGAATCATTGTTAGGCTTTGGTTTGATCCTAATTGGGCTTTCCTTTCTAGCCCGTTTCCTTTGAGAAGGAATGGGCGGAGAACCATCACTCGTGCCAACGTGTCTCAAGGTGGGCTCAGGTTGGGAATCAAGGGCCTTTGTCTTGTGTGTAGTATTGATAGGAGCGGAATTATTCAAGCCACTTCGAATGGGAACGCTCACGCTCTTGCCACGTAGGCTCGGAATGACCTGTTTCTTCTTTCTCTTCGTGACATTGATCCACTCACCATGCACGAGATCAATATTTGCATCATCATGCCCCTTATTCACGCCTGGTGGTTCGGAGTTACCCGAAACAGAATTCGGCACCACTGTCGAGCCCCTAGGTTTCTCCCCGCCACCAACATTGGACACCCCACCGCCGCCAACCTCCACATGATCACCATCCTTGTCAACAGGGACTGTAGGGATATGTGTAGTGGTTTGCGAAGAAGCTTTGGAGTGACAATTACGTGAGACATGTCCATAACATCCGCAGGAAGAGCAGATTATGTGCAAGGCCTCATATTCCACCTTATACCAATGGTTATTCAGCCATATCTTACCAACCACAGGTAAAGTAAGGTCAATCTCAACACAAATCCTAGCAAATTTTCCCCTTGTAACATTCGCAGTATTAAAGTCAATTTTGATTGGCCTCCCCACAGCCGAGGCAAAAGCCATAAGGAAGGCTTCATCATAATACATCACACCTAGTCCAGGAAGCCATATCCATACTAAGGTCTTCTCCACCAGGGAGTCTTCTGCTACAAAATCGGGAGACCATGGTCGAACAATTAAATAATGATCAAACATGAGCCAGGGTCCATCAAATAACGCTTTATTCCGATCTTCTTCTCTATCAAACTTCACCATGAAGTAATCAAACCCTATGTCTATAACATCAAATCCTCCAGTAGGTTTCCACACAGCTTGCAATTTATCTCGCATAAGTTTGAACCCAATGTGTTTTCCCAAAAGCTTCACAACCAGGGCATCGTGAAATGGTTGCGCAAGTGAATTCATAACCGTTTCATCCACAAAGCAACGTGGACGTAGGCGATCACCTTCCTCCCACTCAAACCGCACCAATTTTGATTTGAGGAAATCAATTTTCTCCCTTGCGAGGGGTGGATCCTTGTTCCCCGTAACTTTGTCCCTGAATGAGACACCTGCTTGGACCTTGCCACTCCCATCAGGAGGGCGGTCCGGTTTGTTATCCATCGAAAGTGTTAGCACAGCTCTGGTAGAGAGGAAACCCTAGCAGAAACCCTAGCAGAAAACAATTTTTCCCTGTTTCCTTGTAATTAAGTTTAGTGAGAATAAAATCATTTTTACAAATTAAAAGAGAAAAAATGTATTTGTAACAATGTAAGTTGTAATAGTGTTATATTACTCCTATTTATTTTATGATGTTAAGTTGAGTTGTTAATGTTAAGAGACTCTAGGTTTTGATGAGGACCCCTTAAGAGCTTAAGTGGTGTAGAGAGGAGGCTTGCTGAACAGAGATTTAGTTTGACCCTGGAGGAAGGAGTATATAAGATTTTTATTTTGAATAAAGTCTCATAAACTCCTTTTCTTAGCTTTTTAGAAAGGATTCTACGGAGAAAGTCTTTGGTATGTGAGCTCTATTCTCTCGATCTTCTTCTCCTTTCTTCCTTTGAATTCTCATTAGAGTTGTACTATTGTTGCATTCAAGTGTGTAGGAGCCTTGAATTGAGCTAAAGATTCATTTAAAGTCATGTCGTGGAGTTTCCCTTCTTCTCCTTCCTCGATTCTCTTGGTTCTGAGGTAAGGGAAGTTGGATCCTTGCTTCTAGTGAAGTTTTGAGTTGTTGAATAAGGTGTTGAATGTGTATCATATGAATTCCTTGTAATTCTTTGATCTTGTTGATCAAAATCAGAATGGGTTGGGTGATGAAAGTTGGGGTTTTGTGTTCTTAAGCAAAAATGCAATGATTTGAATTGATTAAGGTTGCATATTGATTTTGAGTGCTGATATATGTTGGTTGTGATGTATGTAAGTACTGTTTCATGTTGCATGCGTGGAGTTTTTGTTTAATTTCAGGTTGTGGCTCAAAATCGAGTTCTGTATTCGTAGAATTTTGATGTCATGTTTGGTGTATAACACCCCAGTTTTCATACTTTTTATTAAGGGTGATTTAGTAATTTTCATAAAATTTATTAAGGGTGATTTAGTAGCCCAAAACGGGCCGTTCCCAAACTGGAACGGACCATTCCAAACTACTAAAAAAAACCTATTTTTGGTAGCCTAGAACGGGCTATTCCCAATCTGGAACGGGCCGTTCCAAACCACCAAAATAGCCTATAACCCTAGTTGGAAACAGGCCGTTTCAAAGTTGGGAACGGGCCGTTCCAAATATGAACGTTGTGAGTTAAAACTCATCTCCGGAACGGGCCGTTCTGGTTTGAGAATGGTCGTTCCAGATGTGAATTATCTGCATGATGAAAGGGTCTAGAACTGGCCGTTCTAGATCTGAAACGGGCCGTTCTGGCCACTCCTGAAATCTATAAATAGAGCACTCTAGCTCTGCTTCTAGACACACTTTCTGAAGACCAAGGAGAATCAAGAGAAGGAGATCAACCAGATTTCGCTCTAGCTCTGTCTTCTGCTTATCCAGGTAAGGGGGTGTGGGAATAATTGTTGGGTAGTAGGATTGGCCCCCAATTCCTTGCCTAATGCATGCTTCTAGGAACAGGCAAAATATGAATGTTTTCTGTTTTGCTTTCTAAATGTCTCGTTGTGTTCCTTGTGTGATGATGAGTGTAAAGATGTGTTTAATTTCAAAAATAGATAAGTTTTAATATGAATTAGAATGTTGTGGGTTCCTGAGAGAACCCTATGAGAAACAGGCAAAATGTGAATGTTTTCTGTTTTACTTTCTAATTCTTCTGTTGTGTTCCTTGTTGAATGAGATGTATGAATATGTGATTAATTTTGAAAATAGACAAGTTTTGATATGAATTAGAGTGCTCTATGGGTTCTTGTGGGAAACCCTATGAAGTAAAATTAGGAATATGATCTTTGGATGATTTTGAGGCAATATATGTAAAATTGATGATGGCTTCATGTTTTGGATAATTACTTGGTATGATTTATGTATATGACTACGAGAAGTTTCTTGCATAAGACTATGTGAACATGATGTGAGAATGTGAAAGGTGAACGTATGATCTGTGATATGATATTGTGAAATAATGTGACATGAGATATGATGAGACGTAATAAGTGAAATGTTGAGTCAATGAAATAGTGGATGTGTGACATGCGTCATGTGCATCTTTGATCTATTCTAGGTGTGCTGCTTAAGCCGCATACCGGTGATGTAACAAGCTAACAAGGTATACCTTAGGATCACTGGTGATGTAACAAGCTAACAAGGTGTATCTTAGGGTCATCGGTGATGAAATGATGAGAAATGTGATTATGAGACACATGACTGGCATCACATGCATTTATGAGTCGAGTCCATCATTGCATGATAAGTGAGTGTACATGTAATACTGATTATGTATGTGTATTGTTTATGTGTGATTGGTGCTTGTAACTTGTAATATGTTTCTTGTGTGTGTGTGTGCTATCTAACCTTTATTTATGCACCTAAACTTGAGTGAGATGTTTCTCACTTCTTTGTTGTTCTTTGTATGTGTTCAAATTGTGTTGTAGGTGATCATTAGCATGAGGATGTTGGTGATGAGGCTTAGGCTTCAGTTGGGCATGCTTTGATAGGATATGTGACATCGGGGCTTAACTAGGTTTAGCATTGGAGTTTCAATACTGTTATTGTGTTTTGGAAAGATTGATGTTTTATTTTTTCATCATTTCCACATTGGACTATGATTTGCGAAATATGAATGTGAACTCTCTATCTATGTGTTTTGAAACCTTACTTTAATTTAAGAAAGTTTTATTTACTCAGGAATGTACTTTATATTTATTGTGTATTATGTATGTAGGGTAGAAGGTGTCACAGGGCGTGCCTTTAAGGTGCCAAACTTTGTTCTAACTTGAGGCTCTCTGTCTCGATCATGTCAAGCGTAGGATTGGTGGTGCCGGGTGTGAGGAAAGAGATTTGTCTTTGGTTGAAACGACGTTGGGCGTGGTTGAATGGCGCCAAATGTGGGAACCTTGAGAGCTCTTTAACTTGGTGATGTTAGACCCAAAGTTAAGTGGCATCCAACGTGCCTAAGCCAAAGCTCTCTATCTAGATTTTGCTAGGCATCGAGGTGGTGACGCTGAGCGAGACTCAAGTAGAGACTATCTACTTGAAATGGGCCCAGCCTGGTAGTTTACCACACCAAGTGTGAGGTCTCAAGGGCCTTTGCCTTAGCCATGTTGGGTGCAAGTTGTGTAGCACAAGCGTGGGCAAGGTAGAGAGGTCCGTGCCTGAATGGTGTCGGTCGTAGTGTGTATAGTGTTAGGCATTAGTTGTTGAAAAAGATGAGTTGTGAGTTGTGTTGACAAAATTTTATGTTGGTTGTGTGGTTGAGTTGAATATAGAATGTGTTTTTGAGATGTTTGTTGATTATAGAGTTGACTATGAGTTGTGAGCTGAAAAGTTGTGAGTTGATTTTGTTGTTGTGTTGAATCTATAAAGTGTTTTTGTGTTGTTCAATTGTGTTGACCACTTAGAACTAGAGGAGAGGATTTCAAAAGTTGCATATCTCATTGTATGGATATTGTGTTGTGCTCCAAGAACCTAATTTGTTGAAAAACCTTCTTGAGAAATTGACCCTTGAAGTGGATAACTATGTTGTTTCTCCTCTAGGAATTTGTTAGTACCATGTGTGGACAAGGTCGAGACACACGTGTATGAAGTGACCATTGTATAGGGGCCAAGTTGAGCTATATTGATTACAAGTGACCAACCGAGTAAAATAAGAAGTTGGGAACTTAGTTCCTAACCAAGTATCAAAAGGGCATAGTATTTGGAGGGTAGTTGGTGGGTTAATCCCATAGGTGGCTTAGTTAAGGTAGCTAATGTTGTGGTAAGCCCATACCCAACTATTTTACCTTGATGGTAGTACTATATTTCCTTGTTTAAGTGGTGACATCCAAGAAAGCGAGTTGTTGTATTGTGGAATTTTATCCAATTTTTTGTTGATCTAACAAGCTCAAAAAGATCATCTTGTGTTGTCAGTTTGATAGGGTTAAGCCACTTAAACTACTCACCCTATGTTGTACGAGATCTCCTAGTTGAAATGCATGACGACACATATAGTTGCTATTTTGAGCATATGATGTGTTGAGTTGATTGTGTTGTTCATATGCCATGTTGAACTGTGATGAAATATGTTGTTTTGTTGAATTTAAGTTGTTGTGTTGATCTGTGTTGTATACTATAATGCAATGTTGTTGTGTTGCTGAAGATGAGATGATGATGTGATGTTTATGTGTTGTATATATGTTATTTCTTTTTTACTCTAGCTTGCCCTTGCATATTTTTATGTGATTTGGACTACGATGATTATACGTGATATGGGAGCAAGGTAGGGATAGGGCTGGAGAGATGCTGTGGAGGCCACTCAGTGGTGCATGAGATGGAGTATCTTTTGTTGACTACTTGATGAGGGTAGAAATGCATATGTAGTATTAATTGCTTGACCGACTACTTAGGATGTATAATGTAACACCTTGATTTTTATAAAATTATATTAATAATATGTAGTATTTATTTTAGTGTTTTAATATGTTTATTAGAAGGACTTTTAATATTATTTAGCTATTTTATATGAACTTTATTTTTTTTATATAAAACATGTTACTTTTACTAAAAAGGAGAAGTATATTTTATATTATTTATCTAATTTATGTTAGCTCTATTTTAATATAAAGCATGATTTTTAATTAATATTTGATTATTTGATATGAGACAAGATTGTATGAAATGTACTTTATTAAGGTTAAGTATATGTTATTTTAATTAAAAAGGAGGAAGTGTATTTGATTATTTTTAATTATTTTATAAAAAGGAGAAGGGAGGATGTAGTGGTAATTTTGTTGTTGTTGTTGTTATTATTATTATTATTATTATTATTATTTTAAGAGGGAGTTGTCACGAGTTACATTTCACATTCTCATTTTCTGCTTATTTCTCTACTACGCACTTTGAAAACTCAAGAGAACCAAGATGAGGAGATCACCAAGGAACCGTATGTGCATCTTTTGATCATCTAGGTAAGGGGAGAGCGGGAAACCTCGTTTGGGATGTGAGAATATATGTTGAGTAGCAGGATTGACCCCCAATCCCTTGCCTGATGCATGCTCATAGGAACAAGCAAATTATGAATGTTTTCTATTTTGGTGTTTGATGTTTCTGATGTGTTCCTTGTTGGATATTGTGCATGAATATGTAATTAATTTCAAAAATTGGTATGTTTTGATGTGGATTAGAGTGCTCTATGAGTTCTTATGGGGAACCCTATAAGAAACAATTAGGGATATGATCATTTGACAAGAATTGAAGTGTTTAATGTGGAATTGAGTATGAATTCGTTTTCTAGAAGTTATTTGAAGTAATTGTATCAATTGGATTGCATGAATATGTGTTTTAATGTGAAAATCGCGTGATTGCGAAGTTTGGAATCGCAGGTTCACGTTGAGGGCGTCGGGCACAAATTAATGGATTGGGCTAGAAAAGTTGAGTCAGGCTCAAGAAATTGCACTAGGCACAAGAAAGTTGCGCTAAGCGCAAGAAAGTCACGCCGAGCGCGTGTGAAGCTACGCCAAGTGGATTTCTTCGCTTTAGGCGCATCATTAAATTTGTCGTGTGTGCTCTAAGCGTGTTGGGCGTGTTGTTCTGCTTTTGGTGCAACATTTAATTCGCCAAGTGCAAGTTGGGGCACATTGGGCACGACCCCTGCTGATGTCTACATGTTTTATTATGTGTTTGGATGTATGAATGGGATGTGAACTGTCTTGTTCTAATTTGATGTGAATTATGTGTTCTTATGAATATTATGATGAAAGAATCCCTATGTGCGTGACCTTATGAATATGACTATGAGAAATGTGAAATGTGAATAAGTGACACGAGACATGATATGATATGACAAGTGAAATGTTGAGTCTATGGATTTGTGAATGTGTGACATGCATCATATGCATTTATGTGACGGGGTACGATATGGAGTACACCATTAGGGAAGGCCGTTTGGCGTGAAATATTTCGGAGGAGTCCTAAAGGATAGCGTGGTTTAGAAGGCTTAGTTATGCCCGTTTGTGTGCATAGGACGTATCTTGCATGACTTCACTATCCCAACGAGACCCTATCAATACATCCTTCTAGTTGAGAGTGCATGGGTTGAGCCTTGCATGTACTCTTATACTACTTCAAGTATGTTGCTTCGGCAACATATCACGTGATATGTGATGAGATATGTGACTGGCACCACATGCATGTATTTATGAGTCGAGTCCACGACATCATTGCAGGATAAGTGAATGTGCATGTGTTCTATTGTATCTGTAATTTGAGAGTTGTGCTTGGTTATGTGTAATTTACGTGGTATTTTTTATGATTGTGTGTATGTTGCCTAACATTTATTTCTACATTTGAACCCGAGTGAGTTCTCACTCCTTTGTTGCTCTATGTGTATTTTATTGTGTTGCAGTGATCATTAGCATAAGGATGTTGGTGATGAGGTTTAAGTCTCATTATGAGGTGTGCTCTGATAGGACATGTGACATCAGGACTTAATTAGGATTAATTTAGAATAATACTCTTGTTAAATTGCTTAGAAGACCTTAATTTTATTCTTTTGTAATTTCTACATTAAACTATGACTTATGATTTATGAATGTGACCTTTTTACCCTTATGTGATTAGAGACTTAGATTTTATTTATAAAGGATTTTATTTATCTCTATTTATTGTATAATTATATATTGGGATAGAGGGTGTCACATATAAATTACATTTAATAGATTATTGTATTTATATTGCATATATTTATTTAGTTGATCACCTTTATATGCATGCAATATAGTTCGTGTTTTTCATATCTGTAAATCAATAATCTTAAGTTAAGCATTTTTCGCTATTAGTAACTGTGAATTGTGTAACCAATGCAAGTCTTTACAGTATCCAACAATTGGTGTGTTTCAAATATCATACATTTGATTTTACGTTTGAATCCTTCTATTATTAGTATTTTAATTTTACAATACATAATTTATATATTTAATTACATGTAACTAAAATTTATAATAAATTTTATATATAAAAAATATCATATTTGAATATATAAATCATATTTAAAATTTATATACATATATATTTTTAAACAAATTATATACTTTTTAACAAATTATATACTTTTTAACAGTAACATATAATTTATATTTTGATTTATAATAAATAATTTATATTGTAACATAATATTATTTTTATTTATTGATAATTTAATTAAAAAATTAAATTTTAATTCATAAATAATTATGATAAATAAAAAAATTAATTATTGTAATTTTATAAAAATGATCCTAAAAATAAATAAAAGATCCTAAAAACGCTCAAACATGTTTAAGATAGATGTCATCTTTAATATATTGGAGTTGATTATTGTAATTTTTGTGGATAAAAAAATAATCATGTGAAACATAATATTTGTTAAAATGTACTTTCTAAATAATTTAAAACTGACCGATAAAAAAAATGAAATTTTACTGTATAAACTTAATAATACACAAGGTACTTGAACATATAATATGAATATTTAAATTTACTAAATATATATAAAAAAATTGTTTGGTTTATAAAGTTATTTAAAGAAAAATAACAATATATTCAAAAGATAACCTTTTATTTTAAAAAAATGAAGTACTAATTATACTTAAAGTTTAATAATTGTATGGTTTGATTTGTTATATTTGTGGTATAACTATATATACTTTTCATTTTTGTTACATATAGGTCACTATTTGATTTTATACGTTAAACAAATTTTTAGGATGCAAAAAATATCTATAATTATTACTTTTTATTTGTTTTAATATAATTTGTAGACTAAATTATGATTTTAGTCTCTCAAAGATATTTATTGCTCTTTTTATTTTTTTAATTTTCATGATAGACTATCATGCTATAGTCAAGTATAATGATAAATCTTTTTCTTTAAGCACGTAACACAATTGTATGCACAAAATTCGAACTTATAACCACTAAACTGAAAATTTTAAGAAATAAAGAAGTTAGGTTATTATCAGTAGTTTTTTTTTTTTTTTTCTTTTATGTGTGTGTATGATGGTAAAAACAATTTATTTAAATCCCCGTCATTAAGTCAGCCATGATGAATTTATTTAGGTTCTGTTTTTGACATCAAGTTAGTTAGTGAGACATATAGGAGAAATATATGTTGAGTTAGTTAAAAAATATACTTTCATAAGCACATCTTTTCTGGCATGACTGAAGTTTCTTGTCCATTAAGAGAAATTATTTGGTAGTTTGGTATCATAACAAGTCCATATTTCAAACATATCTATATGCTACACGTTCAAAATTTTCAAATATGAAAGAAAGAATTAATAACACTTAAACTACATCATATAGAGATCAATGAGAATCAAAATGATTTTGGACCACCTAATAATTTCTCATATAAGAAAGTATAGAGTTATTTCCCTTTTTTAGCCTTATGTTAATATGTTTGGAAATCTGATGGCTATAGGCCCAATATATGTTGGGAGAAGGAAAATTTTTGTGACTTTGTTCCTTTAGAATTGAACGTATGTTCACAAGTCAACCTTTGGAACGTGTTTCCAAACATACTTTCAGAGGTGTTCTTTGTGGTGTAGGATGAAACGTGAGAACCAAATTATTGTTCTCATTGCCGGCATCAATGCTCTGTCACGAGCACGAATGAGGCTTTTGACATGAGCAAGAGTCAAATCTCAGTATGTATAAGGGAGTAGAGTATGACTTAAAATGAAATCATACCTCTCAATGGTGAAATTGCCACCTTACATAGTTACCTAAAATCATTGGCTCTGTGATCAATGACAACTTGTATGTAATTTTCAATCGTAACTACATGGGGTGGTTAGTTCATAATTCAGTTAGTCGTTGGGCTGATGACCTTCACAAGGGTGGACTCCATTTGAGTTGTTCCCTAGAGTGGTTATTGGATCTGAATTGGACAAACTCTGGTCTAGAACAGAAAATAACTATAAAATGCTTACCTTTGAAACAATGCAATACAAAATGTTACACTTAATTTTGCAGGTAATGCTTTGGTTTCTATATATACACATTCCAATAGTAGACAGTCTCCTCCTAACACTTCATTTATTTTTATATTAGATTATCTGTTATAGAATAAATATATCGCTCCAAAATGCCTAATTAGAAGCTGCTGAGTTTTTGAGAAGTTTCATCATGAAGTTGAATCTGATATCTGGTGAGGTCTTTGGCTGAGGCCACTTTGCTCCTTCTGGAACCATGATACATTTGTAACCTTGGCCTTTGTATAACGTTGTGGCCACAGGATTGTTTAAGTCACAATGCAATGCAATTGCACGACAGTCCCAACTTCTGGCATGAGACTCTGCCTTTTCTATCAATTTTTTTGCTATTCCCTTCCTCCGAAAATTTTCCCGGACTGCCACATTTGATATGTATGCAATTCCAGTCCTACAACATAATTAGTTTGATTCAGTCATCAATTAGATTCACATGGTAAAACCATAATTTGTTTGGAAAATGGATGGTTTAAAAAACTTTATAAGACTAATATTTTTTATTACATGTATTTTTTTACCGGAGACAATCCTGTCAGGTAATATTTTTGAGCACATCTAAAGGCAGGGTCACTCTTACCATAGCAGTCAAAAGATAAGAATTTCCATTTTAACAAAATGAAAGCTACATTTTAACCAAGAAGAAACTGCGCATGTAGGATGAAATATTCTGTGTAATGAGTAACTTAAATGACAGATATGTTTTGTGCTAGAGGGATATCATCTGGTAATAACTTTAAGACCAAAAGAATAAAATAAAATAAAAACTGGGAAAATGTATACAAGAATAGATATTTATGTAACGGTTATAAATTTGACACTTGAATACCGGAAAAGATAAATGTAGCTACGGGTGTAACTTTCCTGAAAACATTTTCTGCATTTTTTGGTGTGGATTTAAATATTACTTTTAGAGAACATTTTCTTCTGCTTGATGCAAAAAACATTTTGCAGATAATACATTTCCAATATTTGATGAAACAGTCAATACATAACGTGTATTTTCTATTGACCATATGACTTGGGGTCATATAATATATCACAAGAAAGATATCAATCTATCACATGTTTTAGGCTTATTCAAGGAATTAAAAATTGGCATTTGAGAATGAGAATTAACTTTGTATCCAAAAAGTAACTATTGTAATATTTGATGCATGCATTCTAAAAGATGCACAGTTAAGTAATGTGGAAGGAAAGTCTACAAAATTATTTATGCCCTGATTACTGTCAAGAATTCATTCAGCAATACTAAAAAATGAGAATGTCAGTTCGGATACATTGCAGGATATGCGAGTTCTTATGGCTGCTGTAAAGGCTATGTGTCATAGCTGCTCAAAAGTAGGGTAAATAACATGCTGCACAAGTTCATATAAGTTCAATCTCGTAAAACTTTCTGTGCCTCTTCAAGGAAAAACAGCTCACTGCACTTCCAACAAAAGTCCATTTTTGGATATCATTTTATCAGGAGTTTTATACATGAAAGAGACCATGGTTTCTAAATGGTTTCAAGACATAGAAAAGTATTTCTGTGAATGACCAAGTAATAAGGGAAAAATTTCTGCTTAAAGTTTGAGACTTGAGCATTATGCATCATTAAGAAAAAAATTAACATTTACATTTTGTTCAAGGAGGATACAGCCCACATCACATTGAAGCTTGAGATGATGAATATATTATCTATTGTTTGATGGCCAAACTATGAATTAACACATCAGTATTCATTTCCAAATTGGAACTTCGTAAGTTCAGATAGTATTTTATTAGCCAAGGTATAAACATAATATGACAATTTTATTCGGAAGTCAGATATTCTTAAGGAGTGGTGAAGCATGAATCCACAGTTATACAGGTTAAAAATTGATAATATTATAAAATCTTCGACATTAAAACATATAACTCCTTAGTAATCCAAGCTCTAAAAGTAAGTGTTGTACTCACCTTCTATGTCGCCGTGGCCCTTTTCTTGGTAGAAAGTCTGCATTATTGTCTACTGTTAAAATACCAGCCACATAACCCTTGTTGAGGCTGAATTTCCCATCAAAGCTACCAATCTTGAGACCCTCAGTTCCAAATGAAAAGGATTCATCAAGTGAGCTTCCAATAACAGCCACCAAACATATTCTTCTGCAATCTCTTGGCCTAAAGAATCCGGCTAACATAGCCGCTAACACAGCCACCACCAATCTGTCTATCCTCAGCAGAAAATCTGATGGGAAGGAATATTCAGGGAAGAAGCACTTGCAGTGAGTCTCAGCCACTCCCCAATAATCCACTAACCTTGCCTCACGGACAATAATTTCGGGTGACACAGTTGTGAACAAATCAACAACTTGACTAGCCCTGCAAATTCCTGAATTCAAACACCAAAGTTTTATCTCCAAGTAAAGTTGACATCTATAATAAGTGGAAGAAAGCATGAAGTCCCCAGAATGCTTTGTATCAAGTCAAATCAAAACCTATGAAGTGAAAATGGAACTGCATCATTTAATGCAAGTATACTTACATACATGTGCTGCTCCACATTGTGTTGACAATGGTAAACTTGAAAAAGGGTTTGAATAAGATCAGGTGAATAAAGGGTGTTTGCCAATCATTTTGCAAAATGACAACCATTTTTCACAGAGAGGGAAATGCTAGTAATACATACTCTAACACACACTTTTAAACACATTCTCCCCAGTTGATTGAAATTTATTAGAAAACACAAAATTTGGTAAGTCTCACACCTTATTTTATGTCTCTGTCTTCAGATTTTGTAAATTTTAATTAATTCTAACAATAAAAATGAGTGTTAAGAGGAGTGTATTAGAAAGTGTGTTGTAGCACATTTCCGGAATGAGAAATTATTACATGGTCTGGAACCATTCTGATCTAGATCAATCTCCATATGACAAATTATCGAGTTTAATTTACTGTTTCTCAAATTGAAAATTTCGACTACATGTCATGTGAAAATTGGTTGGAACCATATTATCTGGTGGTCTTGAAGCATTAAATACTCTCTAGTTTTGGAGGCTAAAAATAGCAGTAATAGCAGCAATTGTGCTTTATTTATAATAATAATAATAATAATAATTGATTTCAAAAGGCCTACCTTTAATCCACTTCATTCTTTTCTAAAATTAAACACTTAAAACATAGAAATGCTAAAGCAACAACCAATAGTCCTGAGTGACTTGAAAATTGTTAAACACCAATAAAAAAAATAAAAAAATAAAAAAAGAACTTAAATAAACCAAAACAGCGGAATTAAGCTTGAACTATGAACCCTGAACAACAAGCAATTATGCAAAGAAGTACCTGAGGGGGGGAGAGAAAGAGGAGAGAACTCATTAGAGGAAGGTGAAACCTTGGATGCAAAAGAGATTGGTTTCTTAAAACTGGTATTGAAAGGTGAGATTCTGGTAAGAGTAGAGGATAGCGAGATATCCAAAGGAATGATAGACAGCATTTCTTGGAGGGTCTCTGTGTCTCTTGTTCAACTCCCACTTCATTGGAAATATCCCAACGTTATTCTGTTTGTGTTTAGTATAGGCAGAGTGAGTTACATAACATGTCATGACAAAGACAGGAGAGGGTGAAAGAGAAATAGGATGAGTGGTTTTTGTTTTATGTGAGAAAATGTTTTTTTTTTTTACTGTTAGTTTTTTAAGAGTATTTTATTTTATTTTATTTTGAGTTATATAAGAATGTCAATAAGTCATTTTATTTTAAAAATTTATATGGGAAACAACAATATAGTAATTATTAGTAATTATTTACATTATAAATTTTATTAATAACAAATAATGTATATATATATATATATATTCTTTTAGATTTATTAATAAATTTATATCTTTTAATGTATTAATATGTTTAAATTGTAATAAAAAAAATTCTCAATCTATTTTTATTTTACAATTTATTTTATTTGAATTCTAAATAATGTAATATTGATAATTAGTAAATTAATATTATTAGTATCAATAATTATTAATTAATGAAAAGTAAATCTAATAATTATTACCATTATTTTTATTTAATTTTTAAATCAAGAAGTTAATAATTAATTTATTTTATTAAAAAAAATTGTTTATTTTCAGATATATTTTATATATTCAAATTTTTTTTTGATTTTCATATTTTTAAGATTTTTTGTAATAATATTTATATATAGAAAAATTTTAGAGTAAAGAATATATGATAGAAGTTATTTTTTTTATATTATTTATATTAAAGAAAATAAATAATACTTGTAACATATATGAAGTATTATGTATTATATTATAAAATGTAGAAAGAAAACTACAAATTTAGAATCAATAATAAATAATAATTAAACGAAAAAATAATTAGTAATCAATAATAATATTGAAATGAAAATCTAATAATAATTAGTATTATAAAATTTTATAATAAGATTTTTTTATTCTATTAATTTTTCCGACATATTAATATAATTTTTTTAACATATTAATATATTTACATTATAATTAAATAATTTCTTAATATAGTTTTATTAATAATTTATAATTTTTATTTATAATTTTCTGACAAAATTTTTATTTAAATTTTAAATATATTATTATTAGTAATTAATATTATCAGTATCAATAACTATTAATTAATGAAATGTAAATATAACCGTTATTAGTAATTATTACTATTAGTTTATTTAAATTTTAAATTTAGTAACTATTAAGTAATATATTTTATTAATTTGTTTGGTTCATTTGTTAATAGGTTTTATATTTTTAGATATTTTTTTTTTTGTTTTAATAATTATTCAGTATCAACATATTTTATAATAATATTTATATTAAAAAAATTTGGAGAAATAAAAATACAAAAGTCATTGTTTTTATATGGTTTACGCAATAGTTTATTTTATAATAATAGTTGTATATAAAAATATTTAAGAGCGAATTATTGGAGAAAAGTTTTAAAAAGAAGATAATTATTGAAAAAAAATTGAAGGGAAGAAATTTGGGTGGGAAGGGATTGTGGTAGTTAGAAGCATGAGGATATATGTTTAATCTTCATTACGACCATCTTTGTAATATTTCTTATCTTTAAAAAAAAATTATATTTTATATCATTTTAAAAGATGACGCAATTATATAAATTAAATATCAAAAATTGTATTTGGTATAATATAATGTGGTAGTTATTAGTATTGATTTTATACATTATAAAATTTTATAATAATAAATAATATATTTTTCGATTTTATTAATTTTGTTGATATATTACTTTTTAATATATTGATATATTTATAATATAATGAAGTAATCTCGTAATATAGTTTTATCGATAATTTTATAATACATTTTTATTTAAATTTTATAAATAATATAATTAGTAATTAATATTATCAGTATGAATTACTATTAATTAATGAAATGTAAATGCAATAGTTATTAGTAATTATTGTTATTAATTTATTTAAATTTTAATTTTAGTAACCAATAATTAATATATTTTATTAATTTGTTGGTTTCATTTGCTAATAAGTTTTATATTTTCAAATACTTTTTTTTTTAGCTTTAACAATTATTCGGTTTCAACTTATTTTATAATAACATTTATATATAGAAAATTTAGTATAATTAATTTTTCCGATATATTAATATACTTTTTTAATATATTAATATATTTACATTATTATTAAGTAATTTCATAATATAGTTTTATTAATAATTTTATAATTAAAATTTTTATTTGGGTCACACCCTTTGTTTACTTTCATTAAGAGAACATATTATTAAGCTCTAGTTGGGATAGTTAAGTTGCACAAGATACATTTCATACAAACGAGGGCAAGATTGAGACTTCCAAGTTGAGTTATCCCCAAGGACTAATCCCAAGCTTTTACACAATGGAGCCTTCCCTAGCAATGTATTTCATATTGTACCCTTAAAACACATTTTTATGTGAATGATGCATGTCAAACATAAATGATGCAATAAAATATACATGATCTCACTTCACATATCACATATTCATGGCATATCACGCTTGTGCATTACCGCTAGCAATAAATGTAGAGTAATCTAAGAGTACATGTTGGGTTACACCTTTTGTGCACTTTCACTAAGAGGACATACAATTGAGCTCTAGTTGAGATAGCTAAGTCGCACAAATACATCCCATGCACACGAGGGTAAGATTGAGACTTCCAAGTTGAGCTATCCCCAAGGACTGATCCCCAAGCTTTTATACAATGGGGCCTTCCTTGGCGATACATTCCATATTGTACCCTTAAAACACATTTTTATGTGAATGATGCATGTCAAACATACTCGATGTAATAACATATACATGATCTCACGTAACATATCACATATTCCTTATATCACCTTATATATTCTTAAATACACCAACTACTCATTAGTAAAAAGGTAGTATCAAGATCACAAGGTGAAACAACCAACTAACAAGCATTGAGTGAATATTACCTCACTAAATGAGTTGAGCTCCTTAGAGTCTCTCGTTGGGCAACTAACATCTAGCTGAGCCACCAATATCTAGTTGAGCAAGCTGAGCCCCTTCTCGCTAAGTAACCCAACACATCTCATTGAGCAAGAACACGATCTTCCTCCCTATAAATCACGTCTTCTCAACAACTAAAAGTTACCAACATTCAATTACATGCATAAACAATATACAATCAGTAAAAGTGCTCTATAACATGCAATTAACATTTCAAATATGTCAATTTACCCATATCAATGAATATCTTCACAAACTATCACAACAAGTTTCGTTAAGGTTTCTTATAAGAACCCACGAGAACCTTAAATTATACAATTACAATCCAAAACATACAATTGGTCATACATTTAAACAATTCATGTCATTAGGAACATGTAAGGAGAACAAGTGACAGATAAAGCAAACACATTTGGGGAAATCCCTCATACATAGGCATATAACATACACAGGATTAAGGGTCAATCTCACTACCCAGCATAAAATTCCACACCCAAAGTGAAATTTCTCACTTCTCATTTACCTTGTTGAATAGAAAAAGATGGATGATTGACTTTGGAGTGGTTCCCTTCTTACTCCTGATCTTTGAGCTTTAAGTGTAAAAAGAAGAGCACGTACTTAAAAAGGGAAAATGCATAAAACTAACTAAAACTCATCTTTTAAAAAGTTAAACTTCCTTTAATCCTTATTAAGTTAAAACACTTAACCTTAGTTAATAATTTTATTCCATCTTAATTAATTAAATAAAATCTTTATTTAAAATACCTTACATAATATTCCAAAACATGTCAAATAATTAAAATAAATATTAACACAACTCTATTAATAAAAATAAAAATATTAAAATTATTAATTAAATACTTAAATTATATTTTATGAAAAAAGGTATTACAACTCTCCTCTCCTTTTAGAAATTTTGTCCTTGAAATTACCTAAAGAAAACAAAATCGGATATACTTCCTGCATCTGAATCTCTAGCTCCGATGCAACACTTTCTTCAATATTCCCTCCCTAAATGACCTTGTTTAAAGAATTTTTCCTACCTCTTAGTTGCTTCACTCTCTTATCTTGAATCCTCAAAGGAACCATTTCATAGGTAAAATTATCCTTGAACTGATTGTTGTTGGAGTCAACAATATAGGATGAGTCATGAATGTATTTTCAAAGTTAGGAAACATGAAATACATCATGCAAATTAGAAAAAGACAAAGCCGAAACATTTTGGTAGGCAACATTTCCAATCCTATTAAGGACTTTGTAGGAATCAATAAATCGTTGAGTAAGCTTACGAGATTTAAGTGCTCTACCAACTCCTGTCCAAGGAATTACCTTATAGAATACATTATTTCCTTCTTTAAACTCAAGGTTCTTTCTTTTGTTATTATGGTAACTTTTCTGCCTACTCTAGGTTGTTCTCATCCTATCCTAGATTAACCTCACTTTTTCAGTTGTTTACTGAACTACCTCTAGCCCTAACATGAAACTCTCCCCAGATTCTACCCAACATAAAGGTGTTCTACATCTTCTACCATACAGTATTTCATAAGGTGCCATCCCAATACTGGAATGGTGGCTATTATAGGTAAACTCTTTCAAAGGTAGATAACTATCCCAACTACCCCTTATTTTAGACACAAGCTCTCAACAAGTCCTCTAGGGATTGTATGGTCCTCTCAATTTGGCCTTTTGTTTGAAGGCGATAGGCTAAACTCAACCTAAGCTTTGCACCTAAAACCTTATGTAAGCTCTCCCAAAATTTAGAGATAAATCTCGGCTCTCTATCAAAAACTATACTAACAGGAACCCCATGTAACCTCACAATCTCACCTATGTACAACTTGATCAACCTCTCTGATAAACCAATTTTTGTATATCTTTTTATGCATTATTTTTGGTTTATTTGACTTTTATTAGTATCATATTGTGATGTATTATCTTTATTTTGTTCTAGTGAGTCATTTTGGTCTTAGTTGTAAATTTTAGTTAATTTCCATAACTTTTTCTTATTTTGACATTTTTTTTGTCTAGGCCATATCTAGAG